AGATTCAGGAAAACTAAGAAGGGGACAGAATTTGCTGGAGTAGATCCAGCACCACATCACTTCAGACTTTTTTCTCACTAAAAGAGTTTTAAGGGAAAGGGAAGGAAGGAGAGGACAGTAGGGATTTTATAAAAATATAACATGAAACTATAAGAATTGGCTGCTACTTTATGCTTAAGATTATTGGCAATAAGTAGGTTTGGCCTTGACAAAAGGCACAATACTAACACTGCAACATTAATATTTACTTAGTCACTTTTGAATCTGCTCCAGACCTGTTTTTCAGGACTGGAACTTATCGAATGTTCTAGCATGCCTCAAAAACTCAATATTCACTATTTCTGTACATTTAAACTAAGAACTGTCTTCTCCGCTATACTATTCTAACTTATTAAAAATTTAGGGGTTTTTGGGGTGGGATAGGGATATATAAAATATATACTATTTCAACAATTTCTACATGTACAGTTCAGCCATATTAATTGCATTCTTCAAGACTAACTACCTTTCTTGTTATCCTTTATCCTAAATTATTTCACCATTACTACACAAACTCACTGCCCCATGAGTTGCTGTTGATAACTTGATTACATAGGGATAATTTCTAAAAAAAAGAACACAATGTTCAAGGCAGATATTCTTTTTTAACTAAACTAAATTATATTTTGTTTAAAGGTGATTTCAGGGGATAGTTTCCATCTCAGGTTTAAAGATTTCCTGAAGGCAATTATTTGGGGATTCTTTAAAGGTTTTAACAGCAAGACAGTATGTTCTGAGGTAATGAAAAGGATGGAGGTTGCTTAACGCTGGCATTATTTTAAGTCTGGAAGGAAAAAAAAAAAAAAGAGCATTAGTAGTTCTGAAAGGATTGGGTTTTTACCTGGTGTCGATTCCCTTGCATTTCTAAGTAGAAAGACAGCCCAAGAGCTTCCTCAGCCTGCAAACTGTTTGCCTGGGTTCAGGTTCTGACTTCATCTTCCTGACTCGAAACAGAGCCTGGGAGGCTAAAATGCGCACAGAGGGCTCAGGGTCATGTAGCATCTCTATCAGATCTAAGGGGTAAAAAAATCCAAGGATGGAGGCAAAGGTCCCAGAGGTCTATGGAAATAAACACTGGCCCAGACCCCAAACAATCAACATGCTTTGAGCAGCTGAGACAAGTCTATGTTTGAATACATCTGTGGATCAATTGCCAAATATTTCACTCCTTAAATTATACCTTAAGTTAAATCATTAAAACTTGCCAAGTTATATTGAATACTGTTAATCTCTAAATTGCTATGTTGGCCTTAGAGTGATTCTTAAATTATTATCCCTTTTAAATTAAAAAACAAATCTTTTTTTTTTTTTTTTATGTTTTATTGTGAAGTATGTGATAGTTTACATGGGTGAACATTAGCTTTACATTCATACTATTGCATATCCTTTCATTGCCATGGTTACAATCCCCTCCATGCATCATCAACCAACCAAAGGGTATACCCTGTAATCCTTGCCCCATACCCCCCAGATCTTCAAGCACACAGCCCCCTCCCTAGCTGGGTCTAGAGTCCCCAGCCGCTCCATCTCTCCACGTCATAGTCTCTGCCTCCATCTCTGGTGTCACTGTTTCTCTGGGAAGGGTCCTGCAATCTGCTTCTCTCCCTTGAGGGTCCCTGGACTGCAAAGTCAATCACTCCCCTCCTTTTGCTACAAAATGTCTACCTTTACATTTCCAATTCTCACAGTCAGTTCTGATAACAATTATATTCACTACTGTACCACATGAGACCTATCCTCATCTCCTTTCATCAGCCCCGCCCAGACAGATTGGATGCTACTCAGTGGAGATTCTATCTTCCTTCACACCCTCTGGATATAGACTCCCTCTTTTTTTAAAAATTAATGTTTTATTGTGAATTATGTGATAGTTTACATGGGAGAACATTAGTTTTACATTCTATCGTATATCGTTTCATTGCCATGGTTACAATCACCTTCATGCCTCATCAACCAACAAAAGGATATATCCTAAAAGCCTGCCCCCCCCCCACCCAGTCGTCAGCACAC